TTAATAAATGTATGAAAGAGGGGAAGGTACCTAGGGATTGGCGGAGAGCATGTATAGTCCCTTTATATAAAGGGAAAGGGGACAAAAGAGATTGTAAAAATTATAGAGGAATAAGTTTACTGAGTATACCAGGAAAAGTATACGGTAGGGTTATAATTGAAAGAATTAGAGGTAAGACAGAATGTAGAATTGCGGACGAGCAAGGAGGCTTCAGAGTGGGTAGGGGATGTGTAGATCAAGTGTTTACATTGAAGCATATATGTGAACAGTATTTAGATAAAGGTAGGGAAGTTTTTATTGCATTTATGGATTTAGAAAAGGCATATAATAGAGTGGATAGAGGAGCAATGTGGCAGATGTTGCAAGTATATGGAATAGGTGGTAAGTTACTAAATGCTGTAAAGAGCTTTTATGAGGATAGTGAGGCTCAGGTTAGGGTGTGTAGAAGAGAGGGAGAATACTTCCCGGTAAAAGTAGATCTTAGACAGGGATGTGTAATGTCACCATGGTTGTTTAATATATTTATAGATGGGGTTGTAAAAGAAGTAAATGTTAGGGTGTTCGGGAGAGGGGTGGGATTAAATTATGGGGAATCAAATTCAAAATGGGAATTGACACAGTTACTTTTTGCTGATGATACTGTGCTTATGGGAGATTCTAAAGAAAAATTGCGAAGGTTAGTGGATGAGTTTGAGAATGTGTGTAAAGGTAGAAAGTTGAAAGTGAACATAGAAAAGAGTAAGGTGATGAGGGTATCAAATGATTTAGATAAAGAAAAATTGGATATCAAATTGGGGAGGAGGAGTATGGAAGAAGTGAATGTTTTCAGATACTTAGGAGTTGACGTGTCGGCGGATGGACTTATGAAGGATGAGGTTAATCATAGAATTGATGAGGGAAAAAAGGTGAGTGGTGCGTTGAGGTATATCTGGAGTCAAAAAACGTTATCTATGGAGGCAAAGAAGGGAATGTATGAAAGTATAGTAGTACCAACACTCTTATATGGATGTGAAGCTTGGGTGGTAAATGCAGCAGCGAGGAGACGGTTGGAGGCAGTGGATATGTCCTGTCTAAGGGCAATGTGTGGTGTAAATATTATGCAGAAAATTCGGAGTGTGGAAATTAGGTGAAGGTGTGGAGTTAATAAAAGCATTAGTCAGAGGGCAGAAGAGGGGTTGTTGAGGTGGTTTGGTCATTTAGAGAGAATGGATCAAAGTAGAATGACATGGAAAGCATATAAATCTATAGGGGAAGGAAAGAGGGGTAGGGGTCGTCCTCGAAAGGGTTGGAAAGAGGGGGTAAAGGAGGTTTTGTGGGTGAGGGGCTTGGACTTCCAGCAAGCGTGCATGAGCGTGTTAGATAGGAGTGAATGGAGACGAATGATACTTGGGACCTGACGATCTGTTGGAGTGTGAGCAGGGTAATATTTAGTGAAGAGATTCAGGGAAACCAGTTATTTTCATATAGTCGGACTTGAGTCCTGGAAATGGGAAGTACAATGCCTGCACTTTAAAGGAGGGGTTTGGGATATTGGCAGTTTGGAGGGATATGTTGTGTATCTCTATATGTATATGCTTCTAAACTGTTGTATTCTGAGCACCTCTGCAAAAGCAGTGATAATGTGTGAGTGTGGTGAAAGTGTTGAATGATGATGAAAGTATTTTCTTTTTGGGGATTTTCTTTCTTTTTTTTTGGGTCACCCTGCCTCGGTGGGAGACGACCGACTTGTTGAAAAAAAAAAAAAAATTAATAAATTAGTACAGGCCAATTTCATTATATGTTCAGAATTTTTTTTAACACAGGCAGTCTCTCACTGATGTAGAGTGATTAAAAAAAAAAATTTCACCATAATTCATTTAATTACTACCTTGCCAGAAGCATGCTGACATCACAGTTCAAATGACTCTTTGAACTACAATATTCCCCTCTGAATGTACACTGTACCTCTCCTCTGTGTTACTTTGCTTGCACTACAACAGCATTTATGGATTTAGAAAAGGCATATGATAGAATGGATAGGGAAGCAATGTGGCAGATGTTGCAAGTATATGGAACAGGTGGTAAGTTACTAAATGCTGTAAAGAGTTTTTATGAGGATAGTGAGGCTCAGGTTAGGGTGTGTAGAAGAGAGGGAGACTACTTCCCGGTAAAAGTATATCTTAGACGGGGATGTGTAATGTCACTATGGTTATTTAATATATTTATAGATGGCATTATAAAAGAAGCAAATGCTAGAGTGTTCGGGAGAGGGGTGGGATTAAATTATGGGGAATCAAATACAAAATGGGAATTGACACAGTTACTTTTTGCTGATAATACTGTGCTTATGGGAGATTCTAAAGAAAAATGCAAAGGTTAGTGGATGAGTTTGGGAGTGTGTGTAAAGGTAGAAAGTTGAAAGTGAACATAGAAAAGAGTAAGGTGATGAAAGTATCACATGATTTAGATAAAGAAAAATTGGATATTAAATTGGGGAGGAGGAATATGGAAGAAGTGAATGTTTTCAGATATTTGGGCGGTGATATGTCAGCAGATGAAGGAAAAAAGGCGAGTGGTGCGTTGAAGTATATGTGGAATCAAAAGACATTATCTATGGAGGCAAAGTATAGTAGTACCAACACTCTTATATGGGTGTGAAGCTTGGGTTGTAAACGCTGAAGCGAAGAGGCAGTTGGAGGCAGTGGAGATGTCCTGTCTAAGGGCAATGTGTGGTGTAAATATTATGCAGAAAATTCGGAGTGTGGAAATTAGGAGAAGGTGTGGAGTTAATAAAAGTATTAGTCAGAGGGCTGAAGAGGGGTTGTTGAGGTGGTTTGGTCATTTAGAGAGAATGGATCAAAGTAGAATAACATGGAGTGCATATAAATCTGTAGGGAAAGGAAGGCGGGGTAGGGGTCGTCCTCGAAAAGGTTGGAGGGAGAGGGTAAAGGAGGTTTTGTGGGCGAGGGGCTTGGACTTCCAGCACGCGTGTGTGAGCGTGTTAGATATGAGTGAATGGAGACAAATGGTATTTGGGACCTGACGAGCTGTTGGAGTTTGAGCAGGGTAATATTTAGTGAAGGGATTCAGGGAAACCGGTTATTTTTATATAGCCAGACTCGAGTCCTGGAAATGGGAAGTACAATGCCTGCACTTTAAAGGAGGGGTTTGGGATATTGGCAGTTTGGAGGGATATGTTGTGTATCTTTATACGTATATGCTTCTAAACTGTTGTATTCTGAGCACCTCTGTAAAAACAGTGATTATGTGTGAGTAAGGTGAAAGTGTTGAATGATGATGAAAGTATTTTCTTTTTGGGGATTTTCTTTGTTTTTGGGTCACCCTGCCTTTGTGGGAGACGGCCGACTTATTAAAAAAAAAAGAAAAACTAACATATTCACACAAGCCTGTTGGATGGCTAAGCCCCTAACACTCAAAACCTCCCTTATCCCCTCTCTCCAATCCTTCCTAGGATGATCCCTATGCCCTTTCCATCTAACTGATTTACAGGTAAATGGGAAGGAGGGGAAGGGTTATCCCAGGAAGGATTGGAGGGAGGGGGTAAGGGAGGTTGTAAGTGTTAGGGGCTTAGCCATCCAATAGGCTTGTGTGAATATGTTAGAAGTGAGTAGAAATAAGTTGTTTATGTCGTATGAAATGCCCTCCTAGTCATCCTATTTTGCTCTATCATCTCTGAATGTTTAAGACCCTTCAACAACCCCTCCTCTACCCTCTGAATTGAAAATATACAAAGGAGGATGACAAAGATGATCCCATATATCAGAAATCTTTCCTACAAGGATAGACTAAGGGCCCTGAACCTGCACTTTCTAAAAAGGTGTAGAATTAGGGAAGATATGACTGAGGTGTACAAATGGAAAACAGGAATAAAAAAAGGGAATGTAAATAATGTGCTAAAAAATATCTAACCAAGACACGACTCATAGCAATGGTTTCAAGTTGGTAAAATTTAGATTCAGGAAAGCACTAGCTTGGTAATAGAGCTGTGGATGAGTGGAACAAACTCCTGAGTAGTGTCACTGAAGCTAAAACCTTGTATAGTTTTAAAAATATGTTAGATAAATGCATGAGTGGGTGTGGGTGGGTGAGAGTTGGACCTGCCTTGCATGGGCCAGTAGGCCTGCTACAGTGCTCCATCTTTCTTATGAATTATACACCTCCTCCTAATCTCCAAGCTCTGAATTATAGTAGTGTCATTAATGTAGGGGACTAAGTTTTGTTTTAATGGAGAAGGAGGCTGGAGGCAGTGGAGATTTTGTGTCAAGGCAATGTGGTATAAATATTATGCAGAGAATTTATAGTTTGGAGATTAGGAGGAGCAAGGTTACTAAAAGTATTATCCAGAGGACTGAGGAGGGGTTGCTGAGGTGGTTTGGACATTAAGATGACTTGGATGGTGTATAGGGTAACTTGGTGGGTATATCAATCTGTGGTTAAGGGAAGGCTGGAAGGAGGGTGTGAAGGTTTTGCATGCAAGGGGCATGGGAATCTAGTAAATGTGTGTGACCATGTTAGACAGGAATGAGTGGAGGAAAATGGTTTTTGTGGCTTGACATTATGTTGGTGTGAGCAAGGTTACATTTATGAAGGATTCAAGGAAACCAGTTAGCCAGACTTGAGTCCTTGAGGTAGTAAGTATAGTGCCTATACTCTGGAGGAGGGATGAGGATATTTACAGTTTGGAGGGGCATCTGAACTGTAATATCTGCATGCCTTTCACAAGACAGTGAAAGAGTGAGCGATGGTGAAAGTATTTTTCTTCTTCTTTGGGTTACCCTCTCAATGGAAGATGAATAGCGCGTTAAAAAAATTGGACCAATTCTTGTGTAAAAAAAAAAAATTTTAACTGTTCCATAAATAGGTTAATAAACAGCTACCATCTTATACATGTACTTGTTATACATAGATATATGTTTAATCACTATTAATTTTAATATATCTTCAACCCCCCTCTCACTTCCTCCAACCCCTTCAAATAAAATCAAGAGTAAAGACTATACCTGTCCTCATGTACTCCAGTTCGAACATCCTTCACTGCTGCATAGCCACAAGGGACCCAAGCATGTTTCTGTAGAGAGCGAAGTACTTGTTCTCCAACTCTCAAATAGTATGGGTCATCGGTTGCCAGATAGAGAAGGTATGTCGACTCAAGGAATTCAGGTCGTAGTGGGTGTTGGCCCCAGTGAACCTGGAAATAATTAAGGAATAACCTGTAAATGCTAATTTTTTTATATATATAAAATTTTAAATCAGTCAAATAAGCAAAATTCAAATAAACAAAATTCACCTACTTACACAATCTGGAGTTTACCTGGAGTTTACCTGGAGAGAGTTCCGGGGGTCAATGCCCCCGCGGCCCGGTCTGTGACCAGGCCTCCTGGTGGATCAGAGCCTGATCAACCAGGCTGTTGCTGCTGACTGCACGCAAACCAACGTACGAGCCACAGCCCGGCTGATCCAGAACTGACTTTAGGTGCTTGTCCAGTGCCAGCTTGAAGACTGCCAGGGGTCTGTTGGTAATCCCCCTTATGTGTGCTGGGAGGCAGTTGAACAGTCTCGGGCCCCTGACACTTATTGTATGGTCCCTTAACGTGCTAGTGACACCCCTGCTTTTCATTGGGGGATGGAGCATCGTCTGCCAAGTCTTTTGGATATAAGTTTTGCATTTCATACTAATGAAGAGTGTGACCTAGTTTTGCCTCTATACATTTATCAAAGATAAAAGTGGCTAAACTCTTAACCCTTTCAGGGTCCAGACCCCCAATCTGAAATTTGTCCACAGGGTCCAAAAATTTTCAAAAAAAAAAATTTTTATTATTTTTTCTTGTGAAATGGCAGAGAATCTTTTTCTAAAGGAAATAAAACAACGTATGAAATTTGATGGAAAATTGACAAAATTACACTCTCATGAATTTTGCTGCATCAGCGATATTTACGCATTGGCGATTTTGCCCACTTTGAGTATTTCAACTACCCAATAAAGTGAATAAAATTAGTAATTTGGCCAATTTCACACAAAGTTCAAAATATTCCAATTTCAAAGCAGGGTCCAGAATAAACAATGCAGGCATTCCTGGTACTAAAATAACATTTCCTCTGCTTATTAGTTATGTTTCCAGGTTTTACAAATGAATTCTACTTTGATTTTTGTTCACATAATGAATTTTTATTCACACCAAAAAATAGAAGATTTAATGCTATGCAATACTGTAATAATTGTATAAATAATATCAGCACATTCGTGAACACACACAAGACCCACCAGCTGATGTGTATTGGACGTGTGACATCATTTGTCTACTCTTGAACATCGGCAAAAATCAAAGATTTCTGCTACTTTGAGCTCAGTTTCAAGCCATTTTTAGTACTAAAACCAAACAAAATCATCTCTATTTCTTTAATATATCTTCCATTCTATCAAATGAGACCAAGAAACTGGAAATGCAACAGTAAAAAAACATATGAAAATACACCGTAAAATCTCTGTTTCAATAAAAAAAAAGAGTCTTTTTTTTTAATATGCACTGCATGCTCCAGGATTTGTTTCATATGGAACACACCACACAGATGCATTCTCTCATATCTAGGCCCAAATTTAATACTCACAGCTTATCTGAGTGAGCTGAGCTCATGGCATACAACTATGGCTTGGACCCTGGCTTCAAAACTGTAGAACTATGGGACAGACCCTCCAAGGGTTAAGGAAGGATAGGGATGTTGTGGTTGGATAGTAATCTGATTGTCATGTCAACAGACTAAATAATGATCTGATATATCTGTTGGCATTCTATAAACCTGCTCATCCAATAGTCAACCTATCAACCTTTTATGAACATAAGAACATAAGAAAGAAGGAACACTGAAACAGGCCTACTGACCCATGCAAAGTAGGTCCATGCCACCTAGTCAAGTCACTTCCACCTAAGGAAGGAGCATGGCACCAGACCTGGTAGCCCAAGCTAGTCAGGTTCAACTCACACCCACCCACACCCACTCATGTATTTATCCAACCTATTTTTAAAACTACACAAGGTCTTAGCTTCTATGATGGTACTCTGGAGTTTGTTCCACTCATCCACAACTCTATTACCAAACCAGTGCTTTCCTATGTCCTTCCTGAATCTGAACTTTTCCAACTTGAAACCACTGCTGCAAGTCCTGTCTTGGCTGGATATTTTCAGCAGGCTATTTACATCCCCTTTATTTATTCCCATTTTCCATTTATACACCTCAATCATATCACCCCTATATCCAAACTTACTGACTGCAAACTATGCACATCTATTTATTTATTCTCTTCATTATATCGCAAACAGCTTTCACTCACTTTTTTTTTTATTAAACCAGCCATATCCCACCGAGGCAGGTTGACGTAAAAAGAAAAACGAAAGTTTCTCTTCTCTTCTCTTTCTCCTATACATAAATGACCTACCAAATGCTTCGCAATTACTCAAACCCACACTTTTTGCAGATGACACCACATACGTCTTCTCTCACCCGAGCCCAGTCACGCTAGCAAATACTGTAAACGCCGAATTACAGAAAATATCTACCTGGATGAGGACTAACAAACTTACACTAAACACTGACAAAACCTACTTCATTCAGTTTGGTAGCAGAGCTACAGATGTACCTCTTAACATAACGATAAACGGATCGCCTATCACAAAGCTAACAGAGGGAAAATTCTTAGGAATCCACCTCGATAATAGACTCAAATTTCATACACATATACAACAAATTTCTAAGAAAATTTCCAAGACTGTAGGCATACTATCGAAGATACGGTACTATGTTCCACAGTCAGCCCTCCTGGCCCTTTATCACTCTCTTATTTACCCCTATCTCACCTATGGAATTTGTGCATGGGGCTCAACAACAACTAACCATCTCAGACCACTAATTACCCAACAAAAGGCTGCAGTTAGAATGATAACAAATTCTCACTACAGGCAGCACACTCCACCAATATTCAAAACACTCAACCTACTCACCATACAAAACATCCATACTTATTATTGCACTTATTACATACATAGAACACTTAACTCTGATATTAACCCTCCCCTCAAACATCTCCTTGCCAACCTCAACAGAACACATGACCATAATACAAGGCACAGATCACTCTTTGATGTTCCTCGTGTCCATCTCACGCTATGCAAAAACTCAATGCACATAAAAGACCCTAAAATCTGGAATTCATTACCTGTAAATATAAAAGAAACACTACCTGTTTATAAATTCAAGTCTCTTCTCAAAGTTCACTTACTCACTCAAAACCAAATAAATACTGAATAACTGAACCATATAAATTGTATATCCTAAATGTTACTCACAATTATATCACACAAATGTTAAACCTAACTTTGTTATTTTTTTAAATACACTACCTAACAGAATACTCCATTCTACTGAATGAACAGCAATGCATGCAACCATTGGACCTGTCTTTGTAATACTCATTTGTATTTTATAGTTATCTGTTTACAATAATGTCTTATCACTGATTTCATCATTGCTTAGTTAATCTTAAGTTAATTTTAAGCCAGCCCGTAATGCTATGCATATAAGTGGCTTTGGCATGCTGCTCTTACCTGTATTTTTTGTACCTCTGTTTGTATGCTAAATTTCTAAATAAATAAATAAATAAATAAATGTACACAGGAGAAGGGGTTATTAACCCCCTGCTCCCTTTCATTCACTTATGAGCAAATATTTGGGAGCCTAAATTTATCTGCTGCATTCTTTAAGGCTTCATCACTGAGAGATTATTCCTGTAAATATAAATGTATAGTGGAACCTTTACTTATGAGTTTAATCAGTTCCGTGACCTTGCTCACATCTGGACTTGCTCGTTTGCAGTGTCAATTTTTTTCATTTAAATTAACTGAAATGCAATTAATCCGTTCTGGCTCTCAAGGGGCACAATTTTTTTTTTTCAACAAGTTGGCCGTCTCCCACCGAGGCAGGGTGACCCAAAAAAGAAAGAAAATCCCCAAAAAGAAAATGCTTTCATCATCATTGAACACTTTCACCACACTCACACATAATCACTGTTTTTGCAGAGGTGCTCAGAATACAACAGTTTAGAAGCATATACGTATAAAGATACACAACACATCCCTCCAAACTGCCAATATCCCAAACCCCTCCTTTAAAGTGCAGGCATTGTACATCCCATTTCCAGGACTCAAGTCCGACTATATGAAAATAACCGGTTTCCCTGAATCCCTTCACTAAATATTACCCTGCTCACACTCCAACAGATCGTCAGGTCCCAAGTACCATTCGTCTCCATTCACTCCTATCTAACATGCTCACGCACTCTTGCTGGAAGTCCAAGCCCCTTGCCCACAAAACCTCCTTTACCCCCTCTCTCCAACCCTTTTGAGGATGACCCCTACCTCGCCTTCCTTCCCCTATAGATTTATATGCTTTCCATGTCATTCTACTTTGATCCATTCTCTCTAAATGACCAAACCACCTCAACAACCCCTCTTCTGCCCTCTGACTAATACTTTTATTAACTCCACACCTTTTCCTAATTTCCACACTCCGAATTTTCTGCATAATATTTACACCACACATTGCCCTTAGACAGGACATCTCCACTGCCTCCAACCGTCTCCTCGCTGCTGCATTTACCACCCAAGCTTCACACCCATATAAGAGTGTTGGTACTACTATACTTTCATACATTCCCTTCTTTGCCTCCATAGATAACGTTTTTTGACTCCACATATACCTTAATGCACCACTCACCTTTTTTCCCCTCATCAATTCTATGATTAACCTCATCCTTCATAAATCCATCCGCCGACACGTCAACTCCCAAGTATCTGAAAACATTTACTTCTTCCATACTCCTCCTCCCCAATTTAATATCCAATTTTTCTTTATCTAAATCATTTGATACCCTCATCACCTTATTCTTTTCTATGTTCACTTTCAACTTTCTACCTTTACACACCTTCCCAAACTCATCCACTAACCTTTGCAATTTTTCTTTAGAATCTCCCATAAGCACAGTATCATCAGCAAAAAGTAACTGTGTTAATTCCCAATTTGAATTTGATTCCCCATAATTTAATCCCACCCCTCTCCCGAACACCCTAGCATTTACTTCTTTTACAACCCCATCTATAAATATATTAAACAACCATGGTGACATTACACATCCCTGTC